CATGAAGGATTTGGGGGCGGTTAATCAGATTCTTGGGATGACGGTATATAGGGATAGAAAGAACAGGAAAGTTTGGATAACTCAAAAGAGTTATGTTCAAAGGGTCTTGCGGGGAGCAGTCAGTAAGTTTATGGCAAATGCAGGAAGAAATCATTGGACTGCGTTGAAGATAATCCTTCGTTATTTGAAGGGTATTTCTGAAATCTCCATTTGTTATAGTGGCCAAAGCTTAAAACTAGTTGGTTATGTGGGTGCAGACTATGCAAGAGATCATGATAATAGAAAATCAACTACAGGTTATGTGTTTTCTTTAGCTAATGGTGCAGTGTGCTGGGCATCAAAATTGCAATATGTAGTGGTCTTATCTACAACAGAAGCAGAATATAGCTACACAAGCATGCAAAGAAAGTATTTGGCTATAGAGGTTGCTTGAAGAATTCCACATCAAGCAAGAAGTGGTGATTATTCATTATGACTGTCAAAGTGCATTACACTTAGCAAGAAATCCTGTCTTTCATGCACGGAATAAACACATTGATGTACAGTATCACTTTGTTCGTGAGGTAGTTGAAGATGGGCAGATCTCGTTACAGAAGATCCACACTAACAACAACGTTGTTGATATACTGACAAAGCCGGTGGTGAGAGAGAAGTTCATCTAGTGCAGAACTTCTCTGGGACTTGAAGCCACATAGCAAGAGATGATTGGCATCTATTCTTGAGAGGGTTTTTCACTATGAAAATTGTCTTCAAGTGGGAGAATGTTGAAAAGCAAAAAGGTGGGCCAGTCGGTGGCTCGCCGAATTTGCAATCAGTGGCCCACTGAGCTAAGCCCACCATTTATTCGGTGCACACCATTTGCAAACCACCAGTTATGGTTCGCTTAGCTATGTAGAAAATTTTCATAAATACCCATTATACCCCTCAGCTCAAGTATAAATAGGGGTCCCTCCTATGTTATTTCTCATTTCCATTCTCAATTTCATTTCAGTGTATAGTGTATACAATGTGTTGAGAGGAGTATTGAGTTGGGTGTATTGAGTGTCAAGTACAGGTGTGATTCCGGTGAAGTCATTTTGTATTTTCTTATGTTTATAGTAAGAAGGAAGCTCTGAATTGCTGTCCGTGGACGTAGACAATTTGGTCAAACTACGTAAATTTGATGTTCTCTCTTTTTTCTTTCTTTATTGTTATCTGCTTTTGTCTGTTTCTGTGCATGTAGAGATTAAGTTATTTTCGCTATACAATTCCAACAATGTGTAACTCTGTATTTATATACAATTGTAAGAAAATAAAGAAGGAAAAATACATAAATGTTACATATGAGAGTGGGTACAACATTCGGTGGTGGTTGAGGTTGAGTTCATCTCAAACACTTCACCGAGTGGTACACTTCATCTGGTACAACATTCCTTGTAGCTCGATCTTTTACGTATTACTCAAGCTGGCTCGATTCATGCAGAGATGTCTCCCATCTGCCATCGTCTGGGAAGGCGATGCCACAATGATTACCTATTTGCTCAGTTAGAAGACTATATGATCCTGCTCCTTGGAAATACATGAAAAAACTCAGTAATTGGTAATTTTATAGCAAGTCTAAATGCAATTCTCGCGTGATGGTATAATTTTTTCTCTATTTTGTAGTATCCTTTCTTTTGCAATAATCAGAACTTGTACATTTGGTGACATTGTATATGTCCTTATCTTAATATGAAACTAGGAATGGCCCCCGTATTAAGTACGGGACCATTAATTTGAATTTTTTTATTTTATTAGACATTTAGATTAGGCTTTTTATGAGGCAACTACAGTATCATTAATTTGAAATTTACTATTTAATTATAAAAAACTAACATGATCCTACATTTTTGTAATTGACAATCTATTCTCATCTATTTTGTTTGAAAATCACTATTAATTTATGTCATTTTTAATATGTTTTAAGAGATTAAATGAGGTTTTATTTGTAAGAAGTAACCCACTTTAATTGGTATTCACTATTTATTTGATAAATTTATTTTTAAAAACTATTTCATCTAAATTAGGTTATGCTAATTTATTTTGAATATTTTTAAGTTAAATTATTTGTTTAATCGTTACTTTTGAAATGATTGTGTTTGAATAAAATTCAGTTAGTACCATAACATTTGAAGTGGCCACTTTTTAGGGATTAGGATGCTACATGTATGTGAATTTTAAGAAAGTTGAGTTATCACTTATTTTGTGAGTGGATAGACATTTTTCTTAAGGCAAAACATCATATTTCATTCAACTATGAAACTTATATGAATACAGAGAAGTGGTAACAGAACCAAGCGATAATACAAGTCTCTAGAAAAAACAAAATATTCACAGTGGATAAAGAAAAAAATGAAGAAACTTCTACAACACACAAATGGTGAGGTAGAATCACCAACAAAAGAGATAAATGAGTGCATCTCCAACCACCGAAAGAGAGGGATAAACACCACCGGAACTTTAACAGATAATATGGAACTAACTTGAACTTTAATAGGCTAGAACCATAATCGCCGGAACTGTTATCACCAAAATTGGAACCAATTGGAAGTTTAACCACCTGGAAAATGTAACCGCCGGAACTGTTACCGCCAGAAGTGGAACCAACTAGATCTTTAACCACCTGGAACTGAAACTGTCGGAACTATTATCGTCAGAAGTGGAACCAACTAGAACTTTAACCACCCGAAACTGAAATTGTTGGAACTATTATCGTCGGAACTATAACGTTAACCACCCAGAATTTTAATCGTTGGAATTGGATCCACTTGGAACTTTAACCATCTGGAACTATAAGTGCTAGTGGAATAAGATAGGGGAACAATTACCGGTGGTGAAAATCAAAATAGCGATTAAGGCCACTGCCCAACACTCCACCTCCTGTACTAAAATCCCTACAATAAAAAAAAGGAGAAGAAATGAGAGAGAGAGAGAGAGAGAGAGAAAGAAAGAGGGAAGAAGAACCCGAGGACAACCCCAAGATGAAGACTCTCAGAGAATAGAGAAAGACTCTTCTCGAGAACCCCAGAGACGACAAGCGTATGATGAGAATTAAGTGTAAAATTTAAAGAGAGAGGTGTGAATAGATTCTTTTAAGTGTGAGACTTTAACCTCTTCTAAGATTCTATCATTAAAATTTTAAAATGCCACATGTAAGGGTGGGGTTTTTGCCTAAAGACCTTCCTTTAAAATATATATATATATATAATAGATCTTCACAATGTAATTTCTGTTTTTTATTTTTTTAATATATTTTATGCATTATAAGGAGGATTAATGGTGGGGACAAAGTAGAGTGCATGTGAGGTCCACCGACCTTACCATGGAAAGCCTGCATTTATGCGAGTTTAATCGATCTAGCACCTTTGTATTAGGAGGGACACCAAATGACCATCTCAGCCACTATAGGTCATTGGTGCAATGCAATTGATGAATCATTAATTTTAAAATAGTTTATACATATTTGCCTACCAAAACACCCCGAAATACATAAAAAAAAAAATACTATTACTTGATACATATTTAAAATCAGATATATCTCAAAGAACAAGGAAAATGAAAGATAAAAAACCAAATCAAAAAGATCCATTCATTGAAGTTGCTAAAAAGAACACAGGTTCGAATCTGAGAATGGCTACTCGTGCAAAAAAATGCCAGAATTTTCATCCATGTCCAATCTACCCCTCCCAAGACTCTAGATAACTGCAACTAAAAATAGGTAATGGACTTTTACTAAAAATAATGAATGATTTGCATTAAAAAAATGAATGAGGGGTAAATTTATCAGACCATCCAACTGGACTTTAATGATTTATTTGCAATTGAAGCAGATTACCAGAGCAAGGGATGGAAAATACAAATTTTTCCTATCTTAATTAAATGGAAAAGAATCAACTTATATTTGTTTTTCTTGCCATACATGTTCAGCTTGATTAGTAGCCTTTCGATCTTACAGACTAGAATTGGTTCCCCACTGGATTCTCTGCTTCCTTGGAAGGTAATCAGACTTCTGAGCTTCATAAAAAAGCAAGCTCTTAGTGCCTAGCCAAGGTTTAAAGCATCTATACACTCAAACGTGTTGGTAGGAGTGTATCAATACTTTTTATCCCACACTTTTTTGATTTTTAGGGTTTTTCAAATTTTCATTTTTTACACATTTTTATATTATTTAATTAATAAAAATATTGATTTCATGAATTAGAATTAAATTCCATAAGATATGCATGACTCCCAACTCAGGAAAGATGGCATCAAGTGAAAAGAAATAGGATTTGGGGGATTTTAGCCACTTGTCTTTTTTTTGGCTGGAATGAGATTCTAATTTCCAAGGGTGAAGTCAGAATGGCCACTCCCAATGGGGGTTATCCCATTCCACCAAAGAATCAGAAACAAAATCTCATTCTGCCAAACCAAATAGCTAGAATCGGAATGGCTCAATCGAATTCCAATTCCAAACCCCAATTCCTACCAATCAAATGGACCCTAGGAGAGAAGGTAGTAATGGTGGTGCATAATTAAATTGAACCATATATAAGAAAAGAAAAGATGGAAAAGATATATCTCACCTCCCAAAAATTATAGACATGATGAATTTTGCACCGAGCTAGGAAGCCCTCTAAGGGAGCAACAAATGCAACAAACAACAATATTTTTTGGTAAAAAAGGGAAATCCATTAAACCAGGAAAGAGAACAACACCAAGAAGAATAGATCAAAGCTGAAACTACACCTAAAAACAAGGAAAGAAAAAACAAAGAGAGCAAGCAGCAACAAAAACTCTAAAAGAACGGCAACCAGTCTTCCATCATCAAAAATCTAAAAGACCCCATCGTACGTTGCAAGGCTATGGACTACAAAATTTGCTTCGCGAGGGAATCCAAGTAAACTCAATTGACAGACCTTCAACCACATGCCCAATAACCATCGGATGCCACTTCTCTCTTAATTTATGACCATATATGCCATATCGGCAGGCACACTTCATCAGTAGTAGAAGAAACCAGCAAGAGCAGCGACCCCAATAACAGTGAGTGAGACGGCCAATTTAGATGACCCGTCGTGTTCACCCTCGTCAGATGCTGGTTCAAGTGCGGGTCCCATAGCAGTAGTCGTAGTTGGACCATCAGCGTGTGCCATCGCATCTGCAGCGGGGCCTTCAGCAGCATCACTGGAGCTGCGTCCCGGGGCAGGAGGAGATGAGACATCAGCATCTGGTGAGGAGGCCGAAGCAGGGGAAGTGGGACTTTTCTTGCCGGAAGAGGGGGATTTTGTTGATGCAGGGGATGCCGCAGATGCAGGTGACTTGGCACGACCACCGCTCTGAGCTGGGGCGGAGGCTTTTGGAGAGGAGGCAGTGGTGGATTTTGAAGGTGCTGAAGCAGGGGAGGTAGTGTTTGCTTTCACAGGCGAAGCCTTTGGTGACGGGGATTCAGCGGAGGCCTTGGGTGCCTGTGCGGACACCAACCCAGTTGCAATGGTGACAAAGAACAGAAGAGCGACAACAAGAAGTTGACGTGCCATTGTTGGTAGTATGGTGAGTATCAGCCGGTGGAATGATGAGAATAAAAGGCAAAAGGAGAAAGTGATGAGATGAAATATATAAAATAGAACACCAGATCCGATGAACAACACTAGCACTTGTCTGTGTAGATATAGAGAAATGTTGCTTTGTGTATGGAAGGATGAGGAGAAGAGCGTGGGGTGGAGAGGGAGGCTCGCTTGCGCGGAGCATGCTCCGTCACCCAAGTTGAACAAATTCTAACTTTATTTCTACTATTATGCTAAACACAACGGATGCTTGGATCACCCGGAATGGCGGACTCTGACTGAATCACCCCCTGCCTAATTAATGCTTACAAGTTACTGCCATATAGACTGAGTCATAAGGTTAATTCTTACTTTAGTTGGCATTTTAATATTCTTTTTTTTCTCATAAAATTACTAATCGGCATGTCTCTTTTAATTATTTTCATTAATTAAATTAAACTTTGAGAATTAATAGCCCACGCTACAATATGGATTCATCAGTAATTTTGCAGAAACAAAGATGTCAAAAATGAATATGGGATCACACAGAGACATAAAGTAAGTAAAGATGTCAAAAATGATAACCCAACCCTAAAGCCTTGAGGTCTGTCACGTAAACAACAATTCCTAACATAACATAAAATAGACTAAAGATCTAGTTAAGGGGGTATTCACCAAAGTTTATGATTTTATTTTTGAAAACAAAAGCAATAACCACATCAGCAAATTGATTGGTGTGTCTATTTGTTTTAGTTTTGAAAAACCAAATCAATCATGTTGCAGAACACCCTAAGTTACACTGCCCTTAGGAGTTAGGACAGGTGGGTCATTTAGCTAGTAGTATTTTCTGATATTATATACTAGCTTTTGTTAACCAATTAAATTTGAAGCAGAAAGAACCCTATGACAATTCAAAAGTTTTGACCTTTTTATCTTGGAAAAATTTATGATGTGGAAAAGATATGGTATGGAAAGAGTTTTGATCAATCAAAATCCATCCATGAATTTTGATAAATAACATCATGTTTCCTATCACGTTTATGATTCTGATTTATTGGTCAGTTATTTTTCGGATATCATATCTTTTCCATATCATAGTTGAACCCATCTATCTTCTAGGATGCACTTAGGCTTAGCCCTAGCCCGATCTTCTCCCAACTTATGATTGGTCTAAGCCCAAGCCCAACCTGAGTGCATTAAATTTCAGTGTAGACTGGACTCAAATTGGATAGATCAAATTTGACTTCAGGCTTGGGCCTTAGGCCCAATATTTATGGTTGAGCTTGGATTGCATTTAGGCCCAACCTAGCCAGCCCATCTTACATTATCCATTTAAATGGATTTTAAATGAATTTTGGATTAATAAAAACTCATTCTAAAATTTATAATTTTTATTTTTTATTTTTATTATCTGTGAATGAAATTTATATGATTTTAAATTAATAAAAATTAGCTTTGAAATTAATACACTGTTATTAAATATTATTTATGTTATTTGTAAATGGATTTTAGTTTTATTGTTCTTATTAGTAATTTTTTATAATCCATTATTGTTAGATACATTTTTAGTGTTATCTTTTATTATTTTGAAATGAAATATAAATTAATAAAATTTAATTTTAGAATTAAAACATTACCTCAAAGTATATAATACACCAAGCCTTTACATTGAGGTTCTCCTTACCATGCCATTGGACTATATTGAACCCGAGTCATTATTAGACCTATTTAGGACCATCGATATGACCTCTTTTCATAGTTTAAGCGCACTTGTATAGAGTTGTAGGAGCTAAGTCCCGCATATTCAACCGGATGGGATGCCAATTTTTTTTAGGAAGGCTAGAAATGAATTAAGGTATATAGTAAGCACCATTTATTGATCAGCAGTAACACCACCTCAACTAGTTTTTATTGGGTTCCACCACCCAATGAGGAATGTTGCCTTCGAACATTATCAACATGGTGCCATTACTGTCTCCCAAGAAGAAGAAGAAGAAGAAGAAGAAGAAGAAGAAGAAGAAGAAGAAGAAGAAGAAGAAGAAGAAGAAGAAGAAGAGGAGGAGGATGAAGAAGAAGAAGATGAGGAGGAGGATGAGGAGGAAGGAAAGGGAGAATGACAAGAAGGTTAAAATTAAAATCCATTTACAAAAAGCAATCTAAAAGACTAAATTAGAACAAAATAAATAGAAATACTGACAAAATAAATGTTCCTGCAATGTCAAGATGTCATTGGAATCCGTTTTCCAATGGGGCATGCCAATGTATAACAGAAAGCTAGATCCGAGCAATTAAAAAGGACAATATCCATACAAAATCTACAGGAACGATATAATATTATGAATGAAAATAATTGGTTCTCCAACTGTTAATTCTCCAAGCTTTTGTCATGAAATGAATATTGAAGATGTTCTGATACAAAAACAAAGAGTGTCTTGGGAAGAAATTTAATTACTCTTTGCGAATGTGGTACGAATTGCTGAAAGGAAAATGCTCGTCGAAACTTGAAGGTATTTTGAGAGGGTCCTAAAATATGCTCTGTTTAGAAAGGAGAATAGCTGAAATCATGAATGGTGATTGTGGTACCTAGGCAGTGAAGTAAAGAGACCGAACAAAACTGTCAAGGCTCAAAATCGATGACTACCACCTCCTGCCTTTAATGAAGATGAGAAGGAAGAATGCTCATTATATTTGTGGAGAGTAACGTCAAACCGTGTTAGCCTATTGCGTCTTGTGGGTTGCAGATCAATTGTTGAGACAAAATTTGTAGGACTTCTGCAACTCCTGTTACTTTTGCAACTTGGAAACATATAACGGGTTGTGAAATAACTCTGCATCAAAACTGAAGAAAAAGGTTGGAAGCAATACCTGGGTTCAGCACCGGAGGGATGGATGGATGGCTCCCATGAATGAGAGGTAAATAGGGAAAACGTTTGAGAAATGAGAAATGTGGCTGACGCAAAAATAGGGGATTTGGAAAAAAGTTTAATGAAAACGTTAGAAATGGAATGCAAAACGTCTCAAGAAAGTTCAATTTTACCTACAATTTAAAAGGACCCAAAGTTTTTTTTCTGGAGAGAGAGAGGTAGAGCCCTGCTGACATGGCAACTTGAGAGAACTAAAAATGGAAATCAGATTTGCTCCCCACACCAACCTCACGGCACATTGCATTGAAAACATCTTCCACTAATGATAATATACAATTTTGAAAGATGTTTTCATTGCAGACATGAATGATAAAAGCTGTGCATTGGGAATATCTCCCTTGTCATTTGTGAGGAAATGTTCTTAATACACGATGGTGATGCTCTGTGCATGGGTAAAGATGTGGGAACAACTCGTTGGTAGCAGATGCTGAATGGGCTGAAAAGTACTAAGGTTGGTGAGAGGAAGTGAGAAACGCTCGGGAAGGAATAAATCCGGATTCCTAAACCAGGTTTAAGGGGAAAAGAGAGGCGCAAAGTTAGGAAAATGCTGAATTTTGGTAAAGGAGAAAGGAGAGGACTGGTGATGCTGCAAAAATTTATAGTAAATATAGCAATATAAAAGAGTCAAATTTTATACACCGGGCTTTCAAAAAAAATTCTACACTAACCAATCACTCCACGACAGGTGTAGAAACTCTGATTCATAAAGCAGGCCTTGAGGGGTTCGCATCTGCCTCCCAAAAACATCCCACACAACCGAAACGCGACGCGTGTCATGAGACACGCGCACTAGGCGAGACGCATGCAAAATCACTTTCACGCCGTTTCTTCTCTTGCCCATTAATTCCTCTCTCGCCCAAAGGCTTTCTTCTCCCATTCACTTCGAACCCTGAAAGCCTTGCCCTTTCGTAATCCACCCACCAGACGATTAACCCGGTCGAGTTCCGCCGGCCAACGCCGACAGCCATACCAGCAGGCGGTAAGTAGTCCGTAATGTAAGTTTTTTTTCATTTCTTTTCGTTTTTTTTTCTCATTCGTTTTCTAACATTCACAGATCTGAACCCGCCGGATCAGCAAATTAACTGTAAATAGAGATTATTTAATCAGCAAATTAACAAAGTGTCAATGCCCTCACTGCTGCTGTTGAAGAACTTGTCTAGACACTGATTTCGGTGCTAAGTCCCAAGTATTGTGATTGTCTTATTATTGTCAGCTACTAAAGCTTTGTTGTCATCGACCGATGGATCACCGAAGGGGGTATAAAGCGGCGTCAGGGGGCTCCCACTCCGGCCGGTTCAGATCTGTGAATGTTAGAAAATGAATGAGAAAAAATAAAAAGAAAAAAGTGGTGAAGGGTAATTTGGCCCGACTTCATAGCAGGGAGACACGTAGACGTGATTCGACATAAGTAACAGCTCAGCATGATCAGATCGGCACGTGGACGTGACTCGACATAAGTGACAGCTCAGCATGATCAGTTTACTACAAAGCGACATCGAGTACCCTGCTACCCTGAACTAAAGTTACTTCGAGCTAAGATCATCCCGAACTAAGATCTCCTCGGTACCAGATCGCGACTAGGATAGTGGTACTACAGATCGACCCCGAACAGATAGACCACCTCGGAAAGAATCCACCTTGAGACAAGCCTACCTCGGTGCAAGATCACTTCGGTACTAAGGCACTTTGGCATTCATAACAGGTCAGGTCTAAAGAACGCGAGCTCAGGCAACTCGCCACTAAGTAGGCCGGCACTTCACAGGCAGCTCGCTTCCTAGTTAGGCCGACCACCGCATGACAAACCCGAGGATCTCACCACCATACCCCGCATCTTACGGGATCGTACCTTGTAACGGCTATATTAGCTCACCCACTCTCCAATTCAGACGAAAATGGGCGACCTTACCGGTTGGTGGCGTTATCCCCACCTAACACGAAAGTAGATCCCATCATAGCGGGGATCCAGGAACTACTCCACCAAACCTGCAAGAACTCCAGTATATAAAGACCTCACCCCCCAGGGGTGAAGGTATGCGCGATCTCTGCTCTCTAGCTCTCTCACAATCTATT